TTTAATCTATATAGGCAATTAAGTTATTTATTCTTATAATCGTCGTTTCTAAAGTATAATAATAGCTAGTCTTATTATTATAGAAAATTCTAAGAGAGTCGCGTACTATAATTTATAATCCTAATACTATATAGATACTAGAATTGCTAATACTAGTTAAAAATTAAATACTAAGTTATACCTATTAACTTAAGTCGAATACTAGCCTACTTCGCGAGAATTATACGTCTAAGCTCTACTTAACGCGCGAGTATATTTATTATTACTAGGACGCGAGTATAAGATTCCTCCGGATAACTACTTTCGAGTCGATTTATTTATCGAATAACGAGATATAGAGAGGCAGGCGGACGTAGATTACGCTATTATAAGCCTCGGCGCTATAATAGGAAATTATATAACGTTACTAGAAGAGCTTATAGGCTATAGCTATAAGCTTCTATAGGCTTATAGAACTAGAGAGTATCCTATAGCTCGAGTAGTTATACTAGCTGCTAATATTTAGTCTACTATATATCGCGTCGTCGGGTAATATAGTTTTCTAAGTATAAAAAGGTCTAGTTAGATATTCTTATTAACTATTAGAAGCGCCTTATAATAAGTATCTAATAGTACGATATAATCGTACTACTTAGATATACTTCTATTTTCCTTAGTATATACTAGCGAAACGGATATTCTAATTTATATTTTCTATATATAACTCTAAGAAGCTAAGCTAGAGTTCGGATAAGCGTTAGTCTCGCTACTATTATAATATAGGCCTAAGTAATAAGCTTTTATAAAATATTATTCGAGATCTTCCTATCTTATAGATCGATATTAGAGAGTATAGATAGACGCGAGGATATAGTATATAGCCGCGTATTGCTTACTAATACTATAATAACCTCTCTATAGAGCGGGCGTATCTATTATACTTTCTATACGATTACTTCGATAGGTAGCTTCTATAACTTCTCTCTATCTCTTATATAGCCTAGTTATACTCTCGATTTATAGCGTAGCTATAGTAAAAACGATTTTAAAACTCTACTCGTACTTTATATCTTCCTAGCTCGAGTTCTATATATTTACTTAATAAGGTTACCTAATCCTACTAATTTAGTTTTAGAAAGAGGTAATTAACTTATAATAGTTCTTAGAGAGAGTTATTAATATACCTAACGATAGATATAAAATAGTCTCTATAGGTAGTCTTTAAAAAATTATACGATATTTAAGTCCTCTAAACTACTTCTTTAACTTATTCTAAAACGTAGGTCTAAGTTCTCCGGTCTAGTATACTAGTATACTACTAGGATCGACTTAAGGTTATTTTAGATACTTCTAGGATAACTCTTAATACTACTCTCTACTACGAATTACTTAAAAAGGAGCGGAAAACTGCTATATCTACCCTCTATAAGCCTACTCTAGTAGTATATATTCCTTAACTTAATCTAGAGATAAGATAGTTCGTCGAGAAACTATATCTGCTTAGTACTACTAGCTAAAAGGCGGTTAACTCTATACTAATAGTATAACGCCTAGATATAAGACTAACGCTAACTATAAACTAGGACTATTATATAGAAACGCTAGATAGCGAGGTCTTCGAAAACTTATATATATCGAAGATAAAATTAGTAAATTTTAGAGACCTAATATAAATCTTCTAGACTTAGATCCTCTACTTAGGCTATACTATTCGGAGGCCGATTTAGCTAAAGTATAAGAGATAGACGTAGATAAGCCGCAATAAGTATATAAATACGCTCGATAAAGAATTATCTATAGAGGTAAGAGAGTATAGTAAAGCTATATATTTAGCTTAAGTTCTATCTATTTATACTAATATTAGTAGTCTATAGCAATATTTAATATAGTAATATAGCAACTAAATAATACTCTATATCGTATTAATTGCTACCTAGGCCGAGATAAATAGTACTATTATTAGAAGGAAGCTCTTAACTAGTATAGAGAGAGCGGAGTAATATAGCCGTAGCTTATAGCTTATATATATTAGCTATACTTAGACTTATAGAGCCGAATCTACCTAATAGTTATTATTCGTAAGAAGCAATACTTGCGTTTACTCTATTTAGAGTATAGAAAGCCTCGTACTACTAGAAACTATTTATCGGTAAGTAGTTCGACTTTCTATTATTTTATTTTATTATAAGATCTAACCGAATATTAGGAATTACTATATTATATACTCTGCTATATTTTTAACTATACTCCGGACCTATTTTATAATAATAGACTAATAGTAGATTTACTTTCTACTAGAGTCGAATATCCTCGAAGAATATAGGAGTATTAAATTAAGCTTATATATAGACGCGATAGGTAACTAATAACTAAAGATATAGTAAATAGCTATTATACTTATAAAGCTAAGAGTAACCTATCTATTTTAAATTAATTCGCTATTACTATTAGTTAGAACGCGATATACTCTAGTATCTATATAAAGGTTATTAGGCCTATCTACTAAAATATAAAGTATAGTCTTATTACTAGTTCTACTCCTCTAATCTACTAGCTATTCTATTCTCTTATATACCGAAGGAGATTTGCTTCTAGCCTTCCTTTATATTATTTAAAGAATCGAAATCGTAAATTATATTAGTAATCTTAAAGTCGCCGAACTACTAGAGATAAGATATATTTTCGTCCTACTAGTTAATTATAGAGAAGATTCGATTACGCTCCTTCTAATCTAGTCTATCTAGTATATAATATAGTATTCGATTCTTATTCGTAAGCCTAACTATATTAGTCGTACGCTTCTTCTATAAATCTTAATATAGTCGTAGGAGATCTAGAATCGACTTCTTCGAGTAAGAGGACTCTACGAATAGACTAAGAAGCCTACTAAGGACTACTCTATCCTCGACTACTATTACTATACCTATACTATATATTAGTACTATACTTAATAGCAAATAAACGCAAATGCGCTTACTAGAAGTAGTATATAGTAGGCTCGGATAACACGTATCGCTAAGTAGCGTAATATAGCTCTATAAGCGTTAGTAAATACTATTAGAGCGACTATTGCTATTACCTACTCGTATCTAGAGATCTAACTCGGATATATCCTAGATCTTCTATTTTATAGCCTTATCGACCTTTTGTAGCAATAACTAGAGCGCTAGGTCCCAACCGTCGAATAGCTCGCGCATCTCTTTAATACCCCTAGGCTGTCTCGCAATATCTTTAGGGAGGTCGTTAGGTCGAACTATAACGATGTTGATTAGAGAAGTGTGCCTAACAGCGTATGCCACAACATGACTGTTGGGTCCCTAATAGACCACAATGTCTCCGGCTAATACGCTCTTTACCAATCCATCCTCTAGTCCCTTAGCCTTCTCTATCGGTACCGTGACCCTGTATGCCAGATCCCCAGATTCCTCCGCCTCCTTGACATGTCCCAAAACTGCAGTTCTCACCTTGGAATGTAGTCCATCTCTACCAACGATCACATCTCCTGTCACTACTTCCCCTCTGGCAAGTCTTACAGCCGGCGGAAAGCTACACCGTTCGATGTCCACAACCTCCGCATCCAATCGAATGTCCACTCCCAGCTTCTTCGCCTCATCAACCAGCACTCTCTGATAATCCGCGCGATGGATCACATGCGCCGGATATCCAAACTTCTCCTTCCACCAATCGCCTCTAGCATCATCGGCACTAGCATGTCCAATCATCGAGCCATCGCTCCATCGTAAGATTTTCGTTCCTTTCCGCAAATTCATCCCAGCTTCGTAAATTTTGGGCAAGAGATCATACTGAGATAGGATTCTTGTGGCGTTGGGTGGAAGCTGGATCCCTGCTCCAAGTTCACTGAGCTGGGCGGCTTTTTCGAGGATTAGAACTTTTTGGTTGGAGTGGCGGAGTTGAATTGCTAGGGACAGTGACCCAAGGCCGCAGCCTACGATAATAGTTTGTAGTTGACGTTTAAAGTGAGGACTGCTCGTGGCAGCACCGTCTTGTGTGGCGTTGACGGATGCCATGCTGCACCACAATTCCAATGTATTGCAGTAAACTTTCATGTGGTAATTTTTCTTCGTGGGCCTAAGTGGCGCTTGCTTGACAATAGTTGTACTACGTTTGGTCCTGTCCTGGCTCCGCGTAGGACGTTTATTAGCTTGGAATCGCACGTCGCAGGAAACATCTCTTGTACCATTCTGTTAAAGCGTGCGGCTAGTGTTACTAATTAACGGTCGGGTAAGAATTCGGCCGCTGATTGCCAACGTACATAGAACCCTAGGATATCCGGCTACATGGGTTCATTAGCCCTCGCAAAGTGCTTCCTGTAAATTATCGCAGCTATGGTACCTTAATAACTACGTTCAAACGAGATAGCATATCGAAGGTCGCGACGCCGAGCTAATAATGTCTATAGTCGAATTGAGGCAGCCGCAATAGGTCTGGGCGTATTAGTGTCTATCGAATAACGACGATATCGTAGCTTACTAGTTCGGTCTTATTATAGAAGCTCTTGTTATCGCGCTAACACCGTCTGTGTACCAATGCCGTAGTATCCGTGAATTGGCTCCAGTTAATTGCGGCAACTTCTGACACACGCCTAATACTTGTGCCCACTAGATATTGTAATCAACAACAGCCTTCACTGTGCATGGATTGAGTTGGCTCGATCTAGCATGGTTATGCATGCACTTGTTCTCGAATGAGCATAGCTCAAGCAAGGCAGTAACCGAAATGAGATGCTACTAGCTACGTCATGAGCAGGCATTATGATTCTCACTCACAGGTGTTAATCTTCGAATCAGACTGTGAACCTTCCATGTAAAAGGAAAGCGATTGCAGGCGACGACTGGCTGGCCGCCGAAATCCGGACAGGGTTTCCTGGTGTTGCAAATGGCTGGGCTGAATGATGATGATAACAGTCGAAGTGCTATAGCTCCAAGCAAGCCCCTCAGCTCGAAGGCACACACCTCTTGGTCAGCTTGAGGTTCTTGCCTCAACGAGGCATCTCTACCGCCATGCTCATGATCTATCTCCTGTACGCTGCTGGCGGAGTACTAGTGCTGCAATGCATGTTCGTGCTTTATAATGCCTTCTTTGGCCCGTTGCACGAAGTACCTGGTCCTTTACTTGCCAAATTCACCAACTTTTGGTATCTACGTAGCGTCTGGACTGGGCAAGCTCAATGGGACCAAATCACAATACACCGCAAGTACGCCAAGAAGGGAGAGTTCTACGCCCCAGTTGTCCGTCTTGGACCGAAAATGTACTCGATCTCGCGGCCGCATAATTTGGTATACGGTATAGGCTCGAAGATGCCGAAGAGCCGTTGGTATGATGTCTGGAAGCACCCGTCGGCAGGGCGATGGACTCTCTTTCCGGACCGCAACATGAAAAGGCATGCAGAAATGAGAAGAAAAGTGCAGAGCATGTACGCAATGTCGAGCATGCTGTGTTACGAGACGTATGTGGAAGGTGCTGGAGATATTTTCAGCCAACGACTTGCAGAGATGTGTGTAGATGGACGCCCTGTTGACATGCATCACTGGCTCCAGTGCTATGCGTTTGACGTGATCAGTAACATCACATATGGACGCCGTTTCGGCTTTTTGGATGAGGGCAAGGATATCGCAGGAATTATCGCCGCACTAAACGCCAACACTGTGTACTCTACACTAGTTGGGGTTTACGTTTGGGCACACCGCTTTCTGTACAAGATCATGGAAAAAATGCCTGGCTCTGGCGCCGCAGCACGTAGGTGGCTGATCAACTTTACGCAGGAAATGATCGCGAGCAAAGAAACAGAACGTGGGAAGATTGCGACAACGGGCAGGACATGGATGCCCGCAGCAGGCGCGCCCCGAGATCTCATGACGCTGGCCATGGACGCCGTACTAGACCCGGAAAAGAATATGACAACGTACGACTTGTTCATGATCGGCTTTTCGAACATAGGCGCTGGCTCAGATACGACTGCAATATCCTTGAGCAGCGTGCTTTGGCATCTCATCTCGAATCCAATTGCGCTGCAGCGCTTGCGTGCCGAAATCGATCAGGCTATAATGGATAGAAAGATGACAGTAGACCGCATACCATTCAAGCAGAGCCAAGAGCTGTACTACTTGCAAGCCTGTGTCAAGGAAGGTCTGCGGCTTTGCGCAGCCATAGGTCTCCCACTCTGGCGTGAAGTGTCGAAAGGCTGCGGTGGCGCGGAAATGTTTGGTTACTACTTCCCCGAAGGCAGTGAGGTCGGCATGAACGTCTGGGTACCACACTATAATGAAGACATCTGGGGCCCCGATGCGGCTCGATTTAGGCCCGAGAGATGGATTGAAAGTAGTCCCGAACGACTGAAGGTTATGGACAGCTCGTTCATGCCATTTGGTTTAGGTTCCAGGACTTGCATCGGACGACACATTTCATTCTTAGAGATGAACAAAGTCATACCGATGATCATCTCCAGATTCGACTTCGAACTTATTAACCAGCCAGGCATTCTCGAAACCAAGAACTATTTCTTCGTGAAGCCCAGCAACTTCAGAGTTGTGGTGAAACAGCGAGCTTAGACATTGCCATATATAGTCACGCATCATGTGACCCATCCTAGGTCGGGTGCATGCCCACCGAAGACCTTTCTAGCGCGAAGGATACGCGATCGTCTGGCCACGGTGTCGCTTCGTACGCTGTCGGGGGCAAGATGGCTTCTATGTACTACCGTCTAGGCGGGGCATTTCGCTGCGACATCGAGCCGGACAGTTCGCTCTATATAGCGGTCTAGACGCCTTATAATTCTTCGGCCTAATTACAGCCGAGGCCGGAGAGCTACAGGAAGAAATAGAGATTTACAAATCCGCGTACGAAAACTTCCGCCGTAGCGATAGTCGTCGATAGATATGCGAGCTACGTCGGCGTCGGTCGGCAGACGTCGGATCCTACGACTACTAATATATTCGTTAATAGCGCTATAGTAGATTTGAGCCGAGACTTATAGGACCTGCTTTATAATAGTAAGCTACCTAGCGTCTACGATATCGATTACGATAGAGCGCTATAGCTTAGTATAGCTATAGAGCCTAAGAGTCTTTAGAACTCTAATTATAGTATCTAAAGGTACGAAAGTAGAGCGGGAGGACCGCGAGCAGGCAGTAGGCGCTTCTCTAGATATATATAAATTAGTCTCTCTAGGCGAGCTATAGTAAATAGTACTTAGAATAGAGAGCTTTATCGTATATTTATAATATTATATAGAATATTAATATAAGTAAATACCTTATATCTTTCGGAGTATATAACGCTCGTACTACGTACCTATAGATTATACTAGCGAAGGCAAGAAGGTTAATTCTCCGATTTTGTCTTTACTTAGTCGTACTATACTAGGAGCTATACTAGACTAGCGAAAATTATTAAAGTATTAGTTAAAAAGGAAAACGTTCGATATATTTTAAATACTTAGAATAATAGTAATATAACTATAGTCCGAGATTACTATAGACGACGATATACTATAGAGTTACTAGAGAGAAATATATAGGCTTCTCGGTATAGACTATTATATAATTTATACTCTTCCTAGTCTCTATAGCTTATTACTCGTACTATTCCTACGATTCTTAAGAGAGTAAGATAAACTATTAATTACTAGACGTTATTCTTTCTATTTTTCTCTACTTTATAAGAATTTTATTTACTCTCTAGAGAGAGTAGTATCGGTTAAAGTTAGAGTAGATTAAGATCTCGATTGCTTTACTCTATTAGGCTTACGCTTTATTAATAGCCTAGTAGATATATACTAACTTCTAGTAAATTATCTTATACTTCTCGATATAGCTATCCTTTTCGTTAGAGTTATAGGCCGATACTACGAGTATCTTCCTATTAGATATAGTAATTACTACTACTATAATATCGTATAAGAGTATAAGGACTTAGATAGCCGGTATACTAGTACTAACCTAAAGTATAGAGTAGTATACGAACTAGCTAGAGCTATACTCTTATTAAACTATCGGAGTAAGTAGCTTCTATTTCTAGTACTCCTATACTATATCTTCTCTTCTTATAGATTAAGATACTACTAGCTTTCTACCTTCGCTTTTAGGCGTAGTCGTCTATAGGTACGATATTAGAGTATAGTAGCGAGGAATATTAGTATAGTATATTTAAGTACGAAAAGACCTCTCTATACTAGAGTATATATCTTCGGTTAGCGCTAGGCTAGCTTTATCTATATACTCTATACTACTATAAGTTACTTGCTATTCTAATTAGTAGACTAGAAACCGGTACTAATACTAAGGTATATAGACGAGGTTTTTTTATTTTATTTTATAGAAGATAAATATCTAATCTATAATAAGAACTCGTTTAATAGTTTTGTCGCCCGCTTTTCTACTTCTTTACGATCTATAGTATAATATCTAGGCAAATACTCTAGAACTTTCGTAAGGCTCTACTCCTATCGTATATAATAGTAAATTAAAGTAAGACTCTCCTTTGTTCTCGTTCCGAATAGCTTCTCGAATATATATACGATTTTAGACTAACTATCCTATCGAACGATACGAGCGTATATAATAAAGAACTTCTCCTCTTCTCTATATAATAGACGCGACGATCTCGGGCCTATATAGTTTATACTACTATACTAGTCTATTAAGTACTATAATAGATAGTAGTAGGTAGTATATATATCTCTTACGCGTATAAAGAGGCTATAGCTTATAGTCTATAGTAACGAACTACTGCCTATCTAATATAAATCTAGGCTAGGTAATATAGTCGCTAAAACGCTATTACTACTAACTAGTATAGACTCTTCGCTACTATAAGTATCTATAGAGCAGAGCCTACTAAGCCGGGCCTAGAGTTCGGCTCTATTAAGTAGGAGACTTAATAGAATCTTCCTTAACGAGCGCCTATATAATTAATTTAATACTATACCTACTATAAATATCGAATATTATATATACTAGAGAGCCGAAGAAATACTACTAATCGTAAGTATCTCGGATTAATAGATAAGATCGACTATTATAGTATAAAGAAAGTAGGTATAGTACTAGTAGCCTTAGAGAGGAGTAGACGACCGGGCAGCTAATCTCTATAGTCTAGATTCTCTATAGTTTAGAATACTAAACCTAATCGACTAGTTAAAGCCGAGGATATTCGTAATAGACGACTCGGCTTCGATAAGCTATTAGTAGAAGCAGGTTTCGGCTAGCTACTTAGTATCTACTCTAGAACGGACTCTATTTAGCTAATAACTCTTATAAAATAGATATTATAAAATAAACGCAACTATATAGGTATACTATAAGATTAACGCCTTATAAGACCTCTTGCCGAGTAGACCTAGGTAGATCTATAGAGATATCGGACGCTACGTTCTAGTATACTTTACTAATATAATTACGATTTCTTAGACTTATCTATATATAGCTTTAATCTTTAGCGTCCTAGCTTATACTAAGCTAATTCTAAAAATTATTATATACTCTTAGCGTTACTAATACTAGATTCGGGAAATAGATATAGCGCGAGAGAGGCGATAGGTTCTATAGCTAGTACTATAATAAACTAGGAGTATATATAATACCTAAAAAGCCGAAAAATTTCTATAGCGCGCGTCTATAGTAATCTTCCTAGTATTCGTATCTATAAAGAGACTTAAGGACGACAAACGTATATACTAGATACGAGGTATCGACTTCTAGAAGAACTAAAGATAAGCGAGAAAAGAAGAATAGTAGAACTTCTAGAAGATAGAGAGTATATTACTATATGCCTAAAGTATATAGTATCGTATAGTACTATTAACTACTAGAGCCTATATCGAGGTACGTATACTCTAAATACGATAAAGTCTAGAGTAGTAGGAGAAAAGAAGTTAGATATAGTAGAAGAGAGTAGAGATAGTATATAATAAACGATAGCGGCGGCTAGTAATAATATACTATAGAGGCAAATACTAGTATAGATAAAGTAAGCGGAAGAGCGAGCAAAATAAGTAGAAGAACGAGCTAAGTAGACAGAAGGGCGAATTAAGGAAGTAGAAACGTAAGCAGAATAGATAGAAAAGTAAGTAGAATAGATAGGAAAACGAGTAGTATAGATAGAAAAGAAATTAAAATAGCTAGAGA